CAGCATCTCAATGTCCTTCTTGTAGTGAGGGGCCCAAAACTGAACACAGTACTTGAGGTCCAGTCTCACGAGTGCCCAGTACAGGAGGATGATCACTTCCCTGGTCCTGCTGGCTCCACTATTTCTGATACAGGCCAGGAAGCTGTTGGCCTTCTTGACCACCTGAGCACACTGCTGGCTCATGTTCAGCCGGCTGTTGACCAACACCCCCAGGTCCTTTTCTGCGAGGCAGCTTTCCAGCCACTGCTCCCCAAGCCTGTGGTGTTGCATGGGGTTGTTGTGACCCAAGTGCAGGACCCAGCACTTGGCCTTCTTAAACCTCATACAATTGTCCTCAGCCCATCGATCCAGCCTGTCCAGATCCCTCTGCAGAGCCTTCCTACCCTCAAGCAGATCAACACTTCCGCCCATCTTCATGTTACTTGTACTTACCGAGGGCACACTGAATACCCTCGTCAGATCGTTCCTAAATATATAAACCAGAACTTTAATAAAGACATTAAACTTGCTCCTATGAAATAGCTATGAATACTGTAACGTAGAATTAAAAAACAAAACAAAATAAACAAACTGACCAATTGATACATTTTGGGAAAGAAGTAGCAACACTCTAATAAAATCTCTGTACAGACCACTGACCCTCCTGAAATACTGCAGTGAATGCAATTAATTCTTTCTGCCAGCATCTTCCGCATGCAAGACTGCAATACAATTTATTATCCAAGCAGCAGAAAAATTGCCAGGTTTTACTTAACAGTAACAGCCAGAAGGTTAAAGAATGCTGTAGCTTCTAAAGATTCAACCAGAACGATTTTCAGAGATTTAACATTTCACTGGATAATTTTTTTTTAATAAAAAAGATAGAACCACATGCTACTTTTAAATGAAATCGTTTATTAAACCAATCTGTTTTATAGGAGGTATATATATATTTTATCATTAAGACAATTTCAATGAAATGACTATCTACAAGAATGACTTTGATTGTTTTATTTTCATGTCACCATACATGAACAAATGAATTTTATGTCTTATGAAAACATTTTACTCAGTATCAAAAATGTACACATTTTAATAATCATTGCTCTGGTCTGAAGGGATTTTTACATTTATTTTCAAAAATAAGTGTGATTTCATTGCTGTACATGTTACAGCATAAGCTTAAATCATCCTATACATAATAAAAGTTTGTGTAGGTATATAGATAATTTTTCATGTTGTTATACCTTCATGTTTGAGACACAAGGTGGGGGATTTGCATTTCTCTTTATTGCAAAAGGCTAAAATATGTACTGATGTGAGCACAAAGCAACATTTCTTAAAAAACAAAACCAGTTTGAATGGCACAAGAGTTAGCGTTTTTATAAATTAACAACCAGAGTTCTGGATTATGGAAACAGGTAGATGAGATTCCAGTACTTTCCTCAGGGCTTCGCTCTCTGGAAGAATACCTGTTAAAATTTATTTAAAAAAAACCATTTTAAGACAAAGGAAATATAAGACATGGAATGCTTGAGGTGTAAAATAATTAGTTTGACAGAGCTCATTTTCTTGTTTAACACACTGATTAACATACTAGGTTCAAGAATGTGACTTGTGCTATTTGATTACACTCACACCCTCAAAAATGAAGCATTCTGACACATCCTCTACAATTACAGCATCACTTTTTTTTTTTGCTATTTCAACTGTCAAACACAAGCCACAGCAATACCAAGCTATTGAGGAGGTGGCAAGGTGCTGAGGATAAGTGACAATTCTACAGATGTAGGTTTGTTGTTGTTTGCTCTTTCCTTCCAAATAACTGCTTTTACTACTTGGAGATTCCCTACAGCTAAAAACTATTAAGTAATTAAATATTTCAATTTTACTTCAGGTCACTACTACGACTGAATTGTGTGACAAAGTTCAGGTGGAATTAAAAGCTATTTAAAGAAAAAAAAAAATTTTACCTTTAAGTAATTTTTAAAAACTTTAGCATCAGGCTGCTGAAGTGCTTGACAGAATTCCTGTAGGAAAGAATAAAGAAATCCTAAATAACTAAATGAAGCAACAAGACAACCTGAGATATGTTAGGAGCATATGGAATACCTTGTATGTAAAGCTATTGATATTGGTTTGCATTTTCCCCTAATGTGCAACCAAAAAGCATGTTATGGATAAAAAAATTGTAATAGGCTAGGACAGGCCAAGTGTATTCTGGAGTGAAAAAACTGTATGTTCAAATACAGGATATCACGTTCACTTTCAGCTGAACAGACAGAAACAGGACTATCTACAAGGACTACTACCAAGGAGATTCTAAACCTTTAACTTTGCCAGTAGCTTTTGGTGGCTTTGAAATTAACACTTCAGACAAACATTTACGCTGAAGAAATATTATGTACACACTAAATGACTCTAAATTACAGCAGAACATGTCTGTCACTTAAAATTTATAATCTTAGATCAGAAACACTGGGGCACCAGCAAGAGGTAATACTTGATCCTTACATATATTTAATGCTGCTTAGGAATTCTACACTTTAAGTCTTGCAAGGAGTATAATTGTCTCCTAATGCAGCAAACCCAATTTCTATAGTTACCCAAATTAGTTGCAATTAAAATTAAGTTTTCAGCGTTCATCTAATTTCTTCATGGCAATGCTTAATGTTGAGACAATGGTCAGGTGTAAAGTTTCACTTTTGAGAACCCTCTTAGCACTACTCCAAAACAAGCACACAAAAGCCCCACACTTAATGCTGTACATTGTTTTTGACAGTACAGCCAGTGCTGTGGCTTAAATTTCTGTAGTGCTGAATACAGCCTTTATCATCACACTTTCTATACATTAAACATTCTTCAGTTTACTTTTGAGTTATTACTCTAAGTATTCTGATACTTTTTCCTCAATTTAAAATTTCAATTAAAGTAGAAAGATGGCTTAAGACAGTCACATGCACCGAACTCTTTTTAGCAACATACTTCTTATGCTAAATTAATCCTCTTCTGACATGCAATATCAGAGTAAGTTTTAATGACAGTTGGTAGGAGGTTAATTTTGTCAATATTCATTTTGCTCCTGTGTAACTTTTTTGATTGTTAAAGAGTTTTCTAAATGTTCTTTTAGGAATTCCTACCTGGATTATCTCAGGAGCTACTTGCAAAGAAGGCAAATACTCTTGCTGAAGATACTGAACGCACTCAGGACCCTGAAGAAAAGCAGTACACAATTTGTTCAAGTATATTTAATTACAAATCAGAAGTCATAACCCTGTACTGTATAGCACAGAAGAGTTTAGAACAGGGGGTCTACATGACTATAAAAGAAGTTACGCATATCAAATACTAAATACTTGTTATTCTCAGCTGTTAGCAAATAGAAATATTTCTGAATCTTGGCATTAAGGATTCTACTGCAATTTGGTATCTTTTGTTACACAACAGAAGAATGTATGAAAATAAGAATTACAGTACAGCCAGTCAGTTTGTGACATGTTAACTGTAAGAGTCAGTTAAGTACAAAGGCAGCCCTAATTATCTGACGTATGAAAGAAAAAAAATAATTGACAATTAGTATCTTATAACTGCTTTACCATACTACTCCCATTATGAAATTCAGTAGCAAAGTACCCCTGAGCATAGTGTTTATCTTCTTGCAACACTATGTAATTTGTGGTGGACTGAACAGTAATAAAATGGAATTTCCAAACCTTTGAGAGAAGCAGACAGGTCTGTTTTGGTTAACACGTTAGTTTTTGTCTTTTTTATCTGCATTTATCAGATACCTCTGATCACAAGAGGGATTACTGTACCCTGGCAGTATACAAACATGATCCAATCGACAGGGGGAAAGTGAATCAACTTTATTAATTCACACATATGTTACCTTAGAACTAGAACATGGTAAACAGTTCACATGTGAGGAAATAACTTCAGAAAATTTTCCTATTTTGTATCAGTAGTGTTAAAAGAAACAGTATTTGTAATAGGAAGTTATTTCATTTACCAAAGCTTGATTTCCTACAGGTTTATATCTTCATTGCTTTTGAGGAAAAAGGAACATGCTCAGAAGCTCTCCTCAATTAGAACACAAGCTCTTCTCTGACAGTTTCTAACTTCTGAGCATTTTTGTGTAGTTGTGACTTTTACTTGCATTTGACAGAAAAGTTAGCAAGTTCAAAGGTGTATCAGGAAACAGTAACACAAACATAGAAACTGTTTCATTTCCCATTAAAAATAGACTATGCTATAGTGTTTTAGTCATTAGACAATATAAAATTATTCTTTTCTACAAACATTTTGCAATCTAATCTCCTGCATATCAAAAGATACCTTTAGTTTTCACAGAAGTACTCTATAGTACATCTCTAATTGCTCTTTTATGTCAGTTTAAGTATTATGATGAAAAGTGAAAGAATATCAATTGATCCATTAAACACATTAACAATCAAGTGATCAGATTTTCTCCTTAATGAAGAGTCAATATTTTGCAGTAATGTATCAAGAGGTAGAACTACCAGATGCTGTATCACTACATAGCATTATAGTCATCCTATTATTTTTACAGTCATTCTACTACTTCGTAAGAGTAGTAATTCACCCTAATAAGTACCAAATTTTTAGAAACTGACAAAAGCACTAGAAAGAAGCCTGCAACAGTTACTTCCTGCAAAGTATTAAGATACTTACCCTTTTGAGATGAATTGTTTTTAACGTCACTGCACATTCTGATAAAGCCTGCAATGTAATACATAAAATTAGACTGTTCAGTTAGTCTATTGGTCAAGTATTTAAAGCCAAATAACCTGAAGGCCCAAAAAAAGGGTTAGTTCATGCCATTATTCCCTCATTTTCCCCTCACACAATGATAACAGCCTCAGCTTTCTGATTTTTGTTCCACTCTAACCAGAAAAAATTCTGTCACAGCTGAACCCAAAATGAATTAAAGAAGAGCCACCTGTGCGTGTTCACTTTCACTGAACATTAGTTAATTATAGGTCAATGTTAAATACTCAGATCTGCAATTCTCTAGCTTTATTTTGAGCATACAGAATACGGTACCACAATATTCAATAATTAATCATTCAAGTACCTCAATAAAAACCGTAAGGGATTCTCTTCGTGAGATGATAATCTTTGATACCACATGGTCATTGCAGGTTTCTTAGCTTGAATCTGCCCCACAAAAATGAAAGCAAAAAAATAATACATACCAATACTGTCTGGGCATCTGCCAAGTCAAATGTTTGCTTCAAAGGTGCTAAGAAACATGCAGGAACAATGTGCTTGTAGACAAAGTCTGCAAAACCTACTGGTCCATCTTTACCTCCTGAAAAGAAAAATAAAATTCCATGTTCTATTGCTCCATGATTAGTAGCAGCTGCAAAGGAATCATGGAAAGACAGTCTTACCCCAAAGCTCTACCAACTTAGAAAGAATAATAAAACAAGTCTTCTGTGCAATAGGATCTGGGTAATCCACAGCTCCTTGAATGACAGTGAACAGCACACGCTCCACATTCTCTGCACCTTAAACACATTAAAATGAGCTTGTCATTTCAACTGGCAGCCTAAAATGTTTCTGTACTTTTACACTATTTTATATAAATACTGACCTGGAAGACATGCTTCAGCTTCAAAATAGCTCTTTTTTGCACAAATCTCAAATATTTTTGGGAAGTTTCCCCTACGATGCAAGACAACTCTTATGTAGGTTATAATTTATTTATTTATTTTTTAAACTGTGGAGATTTCAATTGCTCTTCTAGCCTTTAACACACACAAAGGTGAGGGGGGTGCTTTGACCTGCTTACAAATCCAAGTTTTCTTCTCTGTACCCAAACCTGGTAGAGAGAGTTAATTAAAACTCAGCAGCGCTGAAGTAGTTTGCTGATTTTCCAATATGGAAAGATATTTATAACACATTTAAAATTTCTGTGCTGCATCTATGCTTATTTTTATTTGATTCCTTTGAAAATTTCTTAGGCCACCACAACTACCAAGTGCCTCTTTCAAGAAAGCTCTCACTATTCCTTAAAGCCACCCTTTCCTCACTGGTATTACCATCATTTTAGGATGGGGGCAAGGAATGCTGAGCTCCACCTACCAGATGAGTCACTTTAAAGCTTCTCAAGTCCCTAGCCATTTTGATGGAACACAAGAGAGAGTTACTTAAAGAATCAAGCAACTGGACATTCAGCTTCAAATTCCTGCTACAAAAAAGCACTAATTTGCATTTGGCCACTGAGGGCAAGAAAAATCTGGTAACTATATATAAGTCAGATGATGCCTTCTGTGACCGATAACAAGATCAGGTGAAGGTAATAAAAAAATTACAGAAGTTACTGATGTGTCCTTCAGAAAATGACAACCACAATGAATACTGGCAGCTGTGAGTGGTCTTGCCCAACAGTTTGAACACTGCTATATATTGTATGATCTCCGATTCACCCACCAAATACAGTGATGCATGAGGACGTATTTATTATACACCATCCTTGTCCTTCTAGACAGAGTGATCACATATAAGCTGAAGAAATCAATAGGAAGAATATGCCTGTAACAGCTGTATTTCACAAACCCAAATTATTGCACAACAGATAAATTCAATACTCTATTGACGTTAGTCCATTCTACCTTAACACAGTTAATGGTACTTGACAGGAACTTGGCTAATGATTTTGGTAGACAAAATTTAGATGAGAACAACCATAGTACTACCCTTTGAGAAACTGAACTACTTACCTTGATTAGCTATGACTTCACTCATTCCACTGCCAGTTACTGTCTGCAGAAAAGCAAAGTAACTCCTCCGTAACATTTGTTTTTCTAAAGCAGCAGACTGGTCATTTTCTTCTGCTGGAAGGAGCAACACCTCAAAAATAGCATGAAGCAGTGGCATAAACATCTGTTGCAGAAAAGGTGAAACCTGTGTCTGTGGAAATTGGAAGAGGGTATCAACTCAAACAGTTACAGAAATTGAACGTTTCAAAATTAAAACTTAAGGGCTTGCTACAATTCTCATCTTTGATTCACCGTTAAAGCTAGTATTTTAATGTACTAACTACTTATAACAAAGTGAGTCACATCAAGGGTCACCATGAACATCACTGCATTTTGACTTATATACCACCTATCTCAAGTCTTTTGCACAACAATATCCAGTCCTATCTAGTCTCATTCTGAGTAGGAATAGAAGGCTTTTCAGGATTTCTCATCCTTCTGTTCAGACAGATTCTTTAAAATTCCCTGAAATATCAAGGGGGGCTACTGTAAACATAGCTATTGTTCTGGAACCAGAAGAGGAGATACCAGCAACACTTTGACCCTGAAGAGCTTATGCAATAGCATACCTTAAACTTAGCTGTTATTTGGTTTATAAGAGGAATGAATTCTTGAAGATCTTTTGCTTCACAATCTTTAAGCATGTGTTCAGAGGCAGAAGGAATGAAAGGAAGAACTTCTTCCTCCAGGCAAATAATCATGCGGTGAAGGAAAGTGCGGACACCACTTCTTAGAACTTCCTTTTGTAGTGGACAACTGAGAGCTGGCAAAAATGTTTGTAAGCAGTCCAGATAAACCTCTGAGCAGCCACATTGTTTTACAGTTTGCTTATTGCTGAAAGCCTTGCTGGTTCGGCTGTAAAAGCAATACACCAAGTTTTATATAAGCTCATGTTCCAAAACAATGAAGAAGCAGTAACACCAAGAACAACACACGTTTTAAAACCATGGCAATACGTTTTAAAACCAAGAACAACATACGTTTTAAAACCATGCACTAGACTAGAATACTACATTTCACAAAATGGAAGCCAAACACTGGAAGTAATGAACAGAATTATTTGATATGAAGTAGCTACACTTCAGCAGGTTTTGGAGAATTAAATTCTAACAATTTACAAACAACATATGATTAGAACAACCCCATACAATTCTTTGAGGAAGGGAATAGATGCTGGTTCATTATAAACTTGCTCAATATTCTTTGTATCTACATCCATAGCAGCCTTTTCTAAGGGGGCTTAACTGATTTTCTGGGCTACCGTAAGAAATTCTGCAACCACTGATGTCCATAAAGCACAGGTAGAAACTCATCCCCTCCTCCAAATAAATCCTTTATATTTCTCTTTTACTGAAACCAGAAACACAGAGTCACTGTGCTGTACCTACCTAGCAAACCCAACGGCATGATTGAGGCAGTCAGCCAGTGCCATCTGTCTTTCCTCATCTTGTGCCATCATCAGTTTTTCTAACAATACTTTGAACTTCTCCATCAGTGGAGTCAACAAATTCCTCATTAGAGCCTGTTTTCTTTCTGCAGAGTATTCGCTGTTAACTATTAATACTCCAGCTGTTTCATAAATGAAAAGTTGATCATCACTGCTTAAGAGAGCCTGGTAACCATTTTCCTAAAATGGAAGATAACAGGCATAATTCACTAGATGTCCTTTATCAAAGTTGTCTTCTCAAAGTTTAAAGATATTACTCTTTCTTTATTCATGCCTAAATAATCTCTATAGTACATTTATAATAGTTTTATTCTCTTCCTACTTAAGTAGAAGCATCAAGTACAGTTAAAAACATAGTTGAAGGAACAATTATTTTGATACAACTCAGACAGATAGCCTTCTATATGTACATTCATCTCTGGCCTATACTCCCAGCAACCCACCAAGATTATTAAAATTAGGTACAAATGTAAGCATGCAAGTGATCTCACACCAAAAAAGCAGGACAATTATTTGTGTTTAAATGTTTGCATACTAAGCTTACAATTCAGTAAGCGCTCAAGCATAATAATGAGTTAGTACAAGTCTTGCTTATTATAAAAACCTGCTGTAAATACTCACAGGAGGAGAAAGTTCCAGCAGGTCTTGTATTCTATTCAGAACATCTTCAATAAAGGGATTCATTTGCTTACTGAAGTAAAACACAAGTACATAACAATATTTAGAAGCATATGCATTTTTACAGGTTTCCTGGTGTTTTATTTAAGCTGTAAAGCTAGACACTAAACTGCCTTCTCAATACAGAACTCCTGTTTAAATAGCAAAGCACTGTTGTAGAAAAACATCTGGCTTATGGATATGGTGCTTGTGGTAGGCCAAATAGATACATGACCTAGTGGGAAATAAACATTTCTTTTTTCCCCCTCATTTTTTTTTAAACATGCATAAATAGCCTCACTCATCCGAGTGAAATATTTCCATTAACAGTTGAAAAATAGGATCCTTCTGAAATCTGAACAATCTTGGACTTCTCCTGCCCCTACATTAAATACATGCTTATGAAATAAGACCAACAGGACAGGACTGCTCGAATGCCTCTAATACACTGTGTAAACTTCATCAGTGTAAATTCTGTAAATATTCAGAATTTGGTCAGGGAAAGGGAAGAGTTACTCTTGGGAGTCTCGCGATCGACTCACTCTCAGCTTTGCTCACTGAGGAAAAGCAGGACAGACATTTACATTGTTGATTAGTTTTAACATCTAATCAAAATAAACAAAGCACGTATTCCAGTTCTTTGTTCAGTGATGAATTTTTCCACTGCTACCTTGGTATTACACAACAGGACAACCCTGCTAGAGCACTGTTTTTACACGTTACTTCATTGCAGCCCATTTGAAGCCCAGCCTGTTTCAGTAACAACAGTGATGTACAGAAGGGCTATGTATGGTAAATTCAGTGCAATTTGGATACATTTGTAACACTTTACTCACTTAAGAGACTTGACAAATCTGGAAAAGAGGTAAGCTGTTCGACTTCGTACTTTGGGACTTGTATGGCGAAGACCACGGTGATCTAAAAATGCCATCTGCAATCAATAAAGTGTATCTCAGTCTTAGAAACCCTAAGCAAGGGAGGGGAAAAGCTAGTTGTTCAACAATTTAAAGAAACCTAGCTTCTTAAGTGATCTTCAGAGAATAAGAAAGTTTCTTAAGTCTAAAGAACTTAGCTAGTCGAAAATGTAAATTAGATTAAACTTACTAGAACAGCTGGAACATGCTGAGGTTCAACAGCAAAGAATTTTTCGTATCTAACCACTGTTTCAAAGAATTCCAGAGTCACCGATGTATGCTGATAGGCACTAACACCAGAAGTCACCAGCTACAAATAAAAGCATTAGCAAGTTAGTATTTTAGCCATTTTTAACACCAATCTACAACGTGATGTGCTGATAATTAAGATGAGCCATTTAAACTGGAATGTTCCAGTGCTTTATTAGCGTTTTTAAATAGCTCGCACAACACACATACTTACTGTTCTCATCATGTCTTGTAAAGCTGTAGCTTTTGTAACATCACCAGAGAAGTGAGCACCATGAGATACAGGAAGAGCCTCAGCCAACATATACAGCAGCCTTATTGCTACTTCTACTTCCATAAATCGCGTAGTTTGCCAATTCCTAGAGAAAGAATATGAAGATCATTTTAGTCTGAAGTAGTTTATGAAATAATCACAATTCTATCATGTTAGCATTTTCTTTTGAGTCTTCTTCAGATCACAGCATAAAAAGAGTAGATTTAAACTAAGAACAACACTGTAAGACCGAGGCAGTACTTCAGGATGCTTCTGTAAGACTTTATCCACAAACACAGTACCTCTCCATCAAAGCAGGACCCATTTTCTTTTACCAGTATCAATTTGAAAGCTACAGATTTCTTGAATTGCTTATTTCGGTAAAAACCCACTTACTATGATGCATGGACAGCTTCACTTAAGGACAGGGCTCACTAAAGAGCAAGGTTCAAGGAAGCCACTGACAATACTAGATTCCTATTTGTATACACACAACTGTTCTCCTAGTCAGGCAACCAGTAATAATGTTTCTTTATTTACATGCACAGTTTCCAGGATTGGTTTGGTTCTTTTTGGAAAAAAATACTTAACTTCTGTTCCCTTTCCCTATCCAACCTTGGTTCTCTGATAGCATTAATACATAAAATTATTTGCCACATCTCATAAGCATTTCCTTGAGGTGTAAAGTGAATATCTGTCCAAATGGCTGCAGCTGTGTAGGTAAATCACAAAAGATCAAGACAAAGATCAAGTGACATCTCCCAGAAAAAAAAAAAAATTAGCTGCAATTTAAGGTTACAAAAAGAAAGGTTTTTCTTTCTAATCAGCTAAGTAAGAGATTATACAAAGTCGTATTTCACAGAATCACAGAATGGTGGCAGTTGGAAGGGACCTCTGGAGATCATCTAGTCCAACCCTCCTGACAAAGCAGGTTCACCTAGGGCAAGTTGCACAGGAAAACGTCCAAGAAGGTTTTGAACATCTCCAGAGAAGGAGACTCCACAACCTCTCTGGGCAGCCTGTCCCAGTGCTCTGGCACCCTCACAGTAAAGAAGTTTTTCCTCAGGTTTAAGCAGAACCTCCTGTGTTCCAGCTGGTGCCCGCTGCCCCTTGTCCTATACTGGCCACCACTGGAAAGAGTCTGGCCCCA